ATCTGGACCTGGGCAACATCTATTTCAGGTCAACTAAGGTCATCATATTGAAAGTAATTATTTCTACTTCTTTAGAATGACCATTGGTATTATTTTGTAACATTTAAGGAGATAACCACTGAAGATTTGTCCAGGTTGCACCTCGAGATGTTATATAGAACTAAACATTAATTTCCCCTCCAGGCAAATCGGATCATTCCTTAGAGGATTTACATTTCTCACCCAGAAAACTTCAGAAACTTTTCAATCACAACAGTTTGACAGGTTTGAGGGTTCAATTGAGAAAAAGAATCTCAAAATGTGACATTCGGTATACCTAATGTTTGCTGGACATTTGTTTTCATTGTTGAATCTTCTTGCTCTGTCATTAAAATGTAATATTTATTATGACCACTACAATTAAGTAAGCATCTTTTTTAAATGGTTTCTCGGCTTATTTGGTGATATGACTGTTATGTTTTGCATTACAATGTTATTGACTGATATGTTTATATTATACTTTTGTTTTGATTTTCATTTCTAATTGCACATTTTAAGATTAAAAAATGTAAAATGAATTAACTTGAATCAAACTGCTGATGGTTTCTTGTGAAGTTCAGTCTCTCATTAGACCTGAAGTTATAGGCCTAATGAAATTATTGTGATTTGTAATATTCAGTTCAATTGTATTAAATACGGATATATATATAGAGAGAGAGACACACACACACAGAGAGAGAGAGAGAGAGGGTGACAATAGCGACAGTTAAAAAAACAGGAAATAAAAGCCCATTACAAGCGGTAAATTTTATTATGGGATAACAGCACATAAAGCACATCTAAAATCGATGTGTCCAATGCACTTTTAATAAAGGTAATATTAAAGGTACAGTTTCTAAGTACAATATAACAACATTCATATTAGAATGANTTTTCATATTTAAGAATCAGACAAGAAGGAGCAAAACTACGTTTGTGAATAGACTACCTGCTAAAGAGAGTTCAAAAGAGCTGGATAAAAAGGTACATGATCATCTGTCCCCATTTTAACATCAGTAGCAAACGAGTGACTTAGAAATTGACAACCACACACTAGTTTCGGCTTTCCCATAATTTGCACGTCTTTTGCATGGAAAAAAAAGAAACAGAAAGGATCCGAATCCACCCCTGCTCCAAACGCCCTTCATGTAAAGTTACCCCGACCGACTGAGTGCACATTAAACACAGAACATTAAAGAAATCCAAGTGTGTTGTATTCCTCTTTTACACACAGATGCAAATACTTGATAATGCATCAGAAAATCTTCTGTTCTGAGTGAAATAAAAACAAATTTGATAAAAAACCAACAGAAGATGAAGAAATGCCGAATTAGTAATCAAGGCAAACAATCTACAGTGAACTTTTCTGTAATATTATTTGTGAGAATTTATTTGACCATAAAATGAAATTTCCCATTTGTGTTTCTCAGACAAGGTGAGGGAGGACATGTACACATACATGTATACATTGAAACCCTTTAATGTCATGCTTCAACCCACGATCGACACAAAGAAATAATCCGGAAAAAAACATTTGAAGCGTGAGAGTGAGAATTCATCCTCATGTACAAAATACATTGTCACATCAGTACACGTTTTGGAAAACCACAAAAAAAGCAGACAATCAAAACCATGTATGCATCTTGTTACACCGAGAGGCACTCAGTGTGATACGCTGTGTATTATTGCAAGTATATTCTTACTGATATTTGCTACAGAGTGCAGAGACTTTGTCCTCAAATGGCGATTCTCTCATGTACATTTCATAAACACTTCACATGGTGCAAAACCGTTCCTGCCACTGGTTTGAAGAAACCACTGTTTCAGGGATAATCTAACAAGGGGGGATTAACATAAGCATACCGAGACTCTGTGTAATGAAATCCGGGCACTGCTTCCCTGCATCAGGTGAAGAACTATGCAGATACAAGAGAGGTAAATATTTAGTATCTTAAAACCTGACAAACTACAGTCTTAGTGAGTGGTTTTAACAAGAAAGTAAGGGGGGGGGGGGGGGGGGGGACACAATACTGCCGTTTCTGTTTGAATATGATCATTTTTCCACAAACCAGAGAGGCAACCTTAAACAGTTTGTTAATTAGCAGATACTAGCTTTGCTATAAGTCAGAAGGAAATAAGTGCCTTACCCCAAGACTAGCACACTGATACAGGTGCTGGCTGGGTAAATTTATCACTATCATTTTAATTACTCTTATTCTTTATTTGAGTCCTAATATCAATAATACATTAATATGCCATGAAATGAATGTGCTAATAGGGCAGCCAGGCTTAGGAATCAATACTTTGTTCACAAAATTAACTTACCTAGCACCACACATCAGGGCAACACAAAATAAAGGTCAGCACACCCTGTCTCTATCAAACTAATCCTAAAGGAGGGGAGCAAACTAGAAACAGAGTTATCATACAATATGGTGGAATTGATAAACAGATAAATAGTTTCACTGGGTAGGCCTTAGTAGCAGTATTTTCCTCTTACCTATACAGACAGAAGTTACAGAGCTACCTTTATACACGTAATCAGTAATAACATTAAATATGGTGAAGAAACAGCGGAGAATGAGGGAGAGAGAAAGAGTGAGAAAATAAGAGATACAGCATACAGGCCATGTCAAGTTCTTAGTTCTCCACCTGGGAACAGAACCGGTCAAATATACAGATGAAACGTAAAAACATCCACAAAGTCAACACAAAAATAAAACAAAACCAAAAAAATAAAGTGATAAATAAGAGGTGTATTTACATGCAGATGTTCAAAGACTATTATGCACAAAAGAATCAAAAATAATACACAGACATATATTATTGCTTGACATTCGATTATGGCTAAAAGTTGCTTTTTTTCTTTTTAAAACTATATTCTTAAACGTATTTTTAATCATAAATCCTTATCAGCTGTGCTTTAGAGAAATGAGTTCTGTTAAAAATGTGATGACTGACTCATAATTCTGGGGAACGCACACCGACACTCCTGCACAACTTAAAGCGTGACATAACACTCATCTTTACAATTTATGGTCACCGAGAGTCGTTTTTAACAATTTACAGTCCAGAAATCTTTTCAGCCCGGGCTGTGGCCGCGCCGCCAAATAGAAGAGCCTGTTTTTTGGGGGGGCTGTGTTTCTTCACAGCAAACTGCAGACCTATGAATTGTTGAAGGCATTATGTCATGCTTTTTTAAAATATCACCTACACCTATCATGGATGGATCAAGCTCAGCGTTTTCCCAAACCTTTATTTAAAAAATAAAATAAAATCAAGACCTCCTCATCCACATAACCCTGTTCCTCTGTAATTATTAAAGCCTTGTCTGGGGTTTATTTTATTCACAAATACACACACACACACACGCACCCACACACACACACACTCACACAAACATACTATTGCTTTTTACAAAGACAACAGAGCAGAGACAGAAGGACCAGCACATTTTACTGTATACTATACACTGATTGAATAGCACACTTAGCATCGACCCCTTGCTTAGAGCGGGATCTCTCAAGTGAGAATATACAGAAGGACATCACTTTACAGGCCTGTGCGAAGGTGCAGTTTATACTTGGACACAAGTGTTCATGTGTTTGACGACCATTTCCTGCCACTATCGCAGCCGTATCAGTACATAAGACGATGAAAAACAGAGTAATGGGGCTTTATAACTTTTTGTGTTTGCGTCAGCCGTGTGAATAAAGGTCGATTCAAAAAAGGATGATGACTGCACTGTAGAGACCCGTAATTGTAACACAAGGCATATTGTGTGTTTTCTATTGTAGAACATAGTACAAGTCGCTCAGCTATTTAAACCTGAATTAAAACAAAATTTTCACTTCATGAGAAAGGAACCTCGTACTGAATCCAACAACTTTCAAGAAAAACACATTTTCTTTTTGTGAATAAATAACAGGAAATCAGCCAAATGTCCGTCTCATGGTTGTTTTCTGAACAATGAGCGTTGTACTGCTTGTTCAGCCACCTCCTCTATTTCAGTCGAGTGCTCACAAATTCACAAAAGAGCTAATTATGATGCTCTGCAACAGTCGAGAGGAAAGCGAGCTGCTTCTTCAGTCTACCTGTTACCTCCCTGAGCATTCACACCTCATCCTCTCTGCTGCTCCTGCCGGGCCGCTCAACCTGGATTGTCTAGCAGTGGTTCCAGACTGGGTTTCTTTTTTTTCTTTTTTTTCTGGGAGACTGAGGTTTGCTAGTCATATAGAGGGCTTGTGCATATCCAAATAGCATTGGACGAGAACAGAGATTATTACTTAGGTACAGCATATCTACTACAATCCAAAACACAAGAGATTTAGTATTGCATAAGAATATTTGGTTTTTCTAACAAAGAGGGTTAACATTTTTTTAAAGACCCTGATGACACCGTTTGAAACCAAATCAGATTATTTTTTTAATGTGTCACAAATATGCTGTGCGTACTGATAAAACCTTGTTTGTGAAAATGATGGGGTTTGTAGTTTTTTTTTTTACACATGATATGGGGTTTTTCTTTAACTTGCCGTGTGTTGTTTTCTTTGTGAGTGGCTGGAGGCCCAGTTAGAGGATCAATAATGTAAAATCCTGAACAATTCAGTGATGAATATTCAAACGTTTCTTCTCATGGAACATTCCTGGACAAAAACATAAACAAAACCTAATGAGCACAAACAAATGTCCTCTCAAACACAAAGCACAAAAAAAGAAAACTCTTCCCTGAGGGGTGACAGCACAAGGCATTAACACCTTGTACAAATTGCACGGCAGAGGAATGATAGTGTGCAAACAAAAACACAAAAGACAAAGAACTGGATCCTATGTTACGGTTGGTGACGGATGTGTTAACATGCTTTGTTGGGTTTCTAAAGGGATATCATTTTTTCCTTTTTAAAAAATTATTTTTATTTTCCTGTTTTTCTTTTTTTTAAAGATATTCTCGACGCTGCTACTGAGATTGCTGGAATGTCTTAGGAATCCATTCTACGTTACAGACAAGTAGACTGGAAAGCAGAAGCAACGACTACTGTTTGGCACATCCAGGGTTTTTTTTTTTTCTACCACGTTACTAACCACACTGACAAGAAAGACACACTCAACGAAACAGAAGCACAACAACAAAGCATTCTGAAAATAGCACTTGTCCTAACATTTTTATGTTTCTCCCCTAATTGTACAAACAACAGCTAGTCTAATTATTGCAGGAATATAGTTAAGTGCTACCTGACTTCTTTTTCTCTCCCTCACTCTTTTTCATGGGTTCGTTAACCAAAAACATGTTACAAAAATAGAAGCTTTACTACCAGACAAGGCTTTGAATATTCACTTTCCCTTCGCTGTTTTCTTCTGTGTCCCGTTGTGGCGTTGCCGGGTCGAGGCTGCGGCAAGAAGGCGGATAAAGACGCTCAAAAATAAAGATTAAAAAAAAAAAAACCCACATCAAATATTTTGAGAAAGGCTCATAAATGTGCTTTTAAGTTCGACGATATGTTTCTCAATAGGCTGGTAAGTAGCATGCTGTATCTTTCCCCTCCACTAGATGGAACAATTGGATTACCATCAATGTGTCATCATCCCAGTCCAACCACATGACTGAGATTATATTTGATTTTTATGTTTTCTTCACGTAAATTACATTTTTCCACCATAAACTACCAAATGAATTATGAGGAATATGTGAGAATATGAGAGTGAGCTCTGTTTTCTTGAATTGAAGTGTTCAAACAAATGCCGTTCAGTAAAGATGTGTTCATTACACAGAACAGGGTTGTTGGCTGTTATCGTATGTGTGCATATCACAGAGCTACACTGCTCTTGGTACCTCAGAGTTAACAGGTGATTTGAGTGTCTCTACGCCGCCTCCTCACACACGCCTCTTTGTTCGCCCGCGAGCCACCACGCCATCCCCCCCCTGACACGCAGCCCTAACACTTCCACACCAGTATCAGCTGTTGCTCCCAGGACTAGCCTCTGTGACCATGGTTCAACTTGTATTTCTTGTGCACATGCAACACATCACTAGGTAAATATACACGTCTTAAATTAAAGAAAGGTGTAAATAAAAGTGCCTTATCAATTCAACAATTAAGAATGGTCTAACTACTAATATCATACATGTTATTTAAAATAGATTCTATAAACATTACTTTTTTCTGTATAGTAAGTACTTATGACCATATACCCTGTAGTACATTATAAAACAGGTGGAATGGACCCTTTTCATTGTGTTGGTGCCCCTTGCTTCTCCAGGGCACCTGTCCAGAGAAGGATTAATAGCAGATGGCCTTACATGATTTCACTATGCAACAATGGTGGATGGAGTCTTTGACAGCTAAAATCATTGTGGTTTCATTAGAATTACCAGAATTCTATGTTTCTCTTTTTTTTCTTTTTTAAACGATTGTCCATAGAGAGTTGCCGATTGCATCACCATGCCGACGGAGCCTCCCCCTAAAGTTGCTGTGAGTTTTCATTCCAAGCACTGCGTTCAAAAAGACACCACTCAACGCAAGAGAAACATGGCTGAACTTGACCAAAGTGTGCGCATTCATCAGGCATGTGTTCAAGGATAGAGTGTGTGAAAGAGAGTAGAACAATTCTGGAGCAGTTTTGGGAGTGTAATCTGGAAAATAATACTGATGTTGATTAACCTTCATATCTATTTAAGATCTTTTCAGCTGTTTGAGTGTCAATAGTGGCTCCTTAATTGTTTATGTGATTACAAGTCAGATTCATAATTGTAATGCAATAAATATTGGTGGAAATGAATGGGTCTTGAGTTCCATGTTAGAAATGTGCATAAAAAGGTCAAATTCAACCAGACAAAACTTATTTGTGCCCATCTCCTCTTCATGTCCCATGGGGTGTCGGGTCCAACTATAGTCTTCCAGAGAGAACTAAATTCAATAAAGTAAACCTTGAGAATCAACTCCCTATAAGCCCTCCCCTCCAATGTAAAAGAAGAAGTTGAACAGCGTGCCGTCTGTCCACTCTGGTTTGTGCAGGGCACCAATAAAGTGTCTCAGATTCCTCCTCCACATTCCCCTACGGTGGGCACACTGGCACCTGGCAGGGCTGCTACCCGTCAACGGGCATGGACTGCTCAAAGTCTGATCCGAACAACTCCTTGTATAAGGGGGGGAAGTGGGCACGCACAATGTCTGGATATATTGCTTTGAAAGCTGTAAGCTTCTCTGTATGCCTACTGCACAGCGCTCGCAGTGTCGACACTTTGCATATCAACTGTGGAGAGAGAGGAGACAGGCTGTTTAGATTCACAGGGAGGCAAGGACATGGAGCAATGGTAGTGAAAAACATTCCTCCCTACAGTGTATCCCGTCTCACACAGGGGCAAACAGACTTGTAAATATTGAGACAAGCGCTCAGACATGAGGAGAACTTGACATTTCATATTACAGAGCTGGTACAATTGATAAATTGCCACTTTTCTGCTGATAAAAAAGACGTGTAACATTATGAAAGCTTCCCCTGAGAACTATTGGTTTTAATCTAATGCAGTAAAATGGTTGATGGCCTGTGGATAAAGATCCTAAACAGAGGGAGAGTGCACTGCTACAAGGGTAAAACATTGTTCGCAGTCAGCCTCTCTCTGGGATAATGGATGGAGTGTGTGCTGCTTGTACCTTTGTAAGAATACCATCCTCTCTGTGGTTCTTCTGCAGGACATGCTGGAGGGCCAGCTGGATCTTCTGCTGGAGTTTCTCCACCTTTACTTTCTCCTGGAGCCAGGACCGATCTGAAAAGTTGATTATCAAAAACTTTCTGTTACTGCGCAGTCACATGTAGGTCACTTCACCATCAGGTTGAGAAAAGTAATGATGCAGTGCCTCTGTTAATTGATAGAGGGGAAAACAGGAGGGCAACAGTGTTCTCTGTTGTGGTGAACGTGTGTCTATGTTTTTTTTCCCATTGCACCGTGAGTGACACCTACCAGCAGACATCAACACAAAGGCGGAGAACAGGGCGATCTCATCCTCAGACAGGTGCATAGAACACAAGTTTTTCCCAAACTCGAAGACGGAGCTGATCAAGTCGTCACAGCCTGCCACAGCAAAGGACACACAGAGAGGGCTTAGGATGAGGAAGACCAAAGAACAACATTCACTCTTGATCTTTATTGGGAGAGAGGCACATAGGGAGGGAAGAGGATGGGGGAAGGAATGAAAAAGAACGGCATGCTGACAGCACATGGGAGCGTCTTAAGCAGAACAGGCAATGCTTTTACTGAGTTTTGCCTCCCAGACGAGTCACTTTTGGCAGTTGGGTGGTGTTATGCAAGCCAGAATGAGGTCACTATTGAGGCTTTTAGTTAAATCAATTATTGGGGATAGAGAGAGACAGACGGATGCCACCGCGGCTTGTGAAGCCCATCACTCTGCCTCCCCCGCTGCAGACCCCTCTGCACAGAACGCACAGGACACTGGGACAGATACACACACTCACTCATAAACAAACAGGCACACAGAGTTACAGGGATTGGCAAACTCACACTAAGAAACAGAATTCAGCATTTTTACCATCACTATGGGACACATTTACATTTTCTTGTTCGTCAAAAGGCAGTTGGAAGTTTGAGAAAATCCATGGTGGAGACTCTTAGTAATGTCATGGCAGTCAAACACAAATGCTATTTGCTTTTGCCTGAGATGTTTTATGTCAGACTATCAATGATGGTTTTGATAGCTCTCTCCCAGAAGACACTCCGTCTGGCTTTATTTATTCCACAGTTACAGGAGCCATATGCAGCCGAGCCTCACTAACATCTCTGTTCTACCATAAATAACCGCTGCAGAGACAGCGATGCCAGGTGAGGCAGTGCTCAGTGTTTGTTTCCAGGCCTTCAGCACGGTGTAGAGCAGAACAGCAGACTCTAATTTTGGCTATTACACCAAGGAAAGGAGATAGACACCGAAAGAAGACACGCACATGTGCACACGTACACACGTACACACGTACACACACACACACACACATGCATGCATGCAGGCTAGCTCAAACTGCAACAAACCCACTCCACTTACCTAATGACTTGAACACATCAGGTCCGGCATATTTTCCATCAAAATAGACTGTGTTGTTTTGCGAGTCAAAGGCACGGCACATTCTGACAAACACGACTTCCAAAGAGCCTGTGGAGACATGCGAGAACAAGATGCTGAAACTCTGCTTTGTGTTCTTTTTTTCTCTCTCTCTCTAACACTTGCACATCAGTCAGGGATGCAAAACACATGATCACGCTTTGTGCTATTCTTCAACAATGTGAATAACACAGCTACTTTGAAATAAGAGACGACTGCCATCAAAGGGAAAGAAAAAAATCACCTCTGCCGATGATAATATCATAACAGAAGGCTATTCTTCCATAATGACATGCCAAGATAAAAAATTGAGCTTCATTCAGCAGTGACAGTGCTTATTCATTCAACCTTTATTTAGTGACATAGGTAGGGAATTATTCTATCCTGTAATTTGTACCACTCTGTGGGAGTGGATAAGAGGATCAAGTAAAATGTAACAGAAGCTATTACTGCCTCTGAGGAAGATGCTACTGTTTTAAAATGCCACGTCTGACAAGGGATCTGTCTTTATTTCATTATTCATAGTGGCTGCGCTAATGTAAATAATGCCCAGGGAGAGACCCAGGAGAGGTGTTTGTTTTCTGTGTGAGTGCCTATGAGCGTCTCTATTTACACGTAAATATAGGTGACACTGTTCACACACTCATATCTTTGCTTTAAGTATGTCTTCGTGAGAGCAGTACGAACAGGCAGACATCACCGGTGTCTGGGAAAAGAGAGGGAAATGACAGCCGTCGAGATAAGTATTATCTGGGCTCAGAAACACGTTGCTTATCTAATGCTGTGTCCATCTTGGCTGTGTATGTAGCGAACAGAGGAAAATAAAGGGCGAAAGACAGACAGAGAGGGGAAACAGGCAGGGTAGGGTCTCCTCTCTGTGACACTGTCTGTGCGTGTGAAGACGAGGGCTTTGTGCAGTCAGGTCAGCTACGCCCTTGTGACAATGCCAGAGGGGGGCGGTGGTGGTGGGTGAGTTTGACAGCAGCAGGCCATGTTGACAGGCTGTCATACCTGCTTTCAGCAGCACTATCTGATCGTTCTGACACAGCTCCATGAAGCCGTCGATGCGCTTGGCGAACTCCACCACATACTGAATGGCCTCTGTTATTTTGATAGCACACAGCTGCCACATGACTTCCCGGGGCTAGGAACAGAAAAGAAAGAGAGTGGGTTATCTACTGTAAAAGAATGTATTTGATTATTGCAGCTGCTGCGGACGCCGGCACAGACCCCGGCCCTGGTCAAGGTACCTTGCTCTGGTAGCTCTCCACCTCTTCCTGCAGGAAGGCCTGCCAGGTCATCTGCTGCAGCTCCTCCCTCAGGTACTGACATGTCTCCATGTGTGACTTGGAGATGTTCTGGGCCAGGTGCTCTGTAACACAACCATTGTCACAAACGCAGAAGATCACAGTCGAGATCTGGATGTTACTCACAGGGCTATGTGAAAGGGAAGACCTCACTGATGAAATGTGCCACAGGAAAAGAAGATTTATTTACTGAGCTTTCAAAAAGGAGGAGAGGCGGATGTGCGTGGGCTTTTTTGACTGCGAAAAGGCTTGTTGACATTTCCTTTTACTGCCTGCAGGAAGCTCATAGCTTAAGGTTGAGGCAAAGCCAATCTAGTTATGACACAAATGCATGGAGAGGAGGAGGGGTCCCACGTTACTCACTGAAACAAAGGTCACATTTTCTCTGAGAGAAATATTGAGTATAAGAATTTAAATGGTTTTGAAAACACATCTGTTAAAAGGAGTTCCTAGGCACGGGGGAGCCTAAAAAAATGATTTCCCCAGACGCCTGCCCTGCTGGATCCTGATTGGCCCTAATTAATGGAAACTAATTACAAAAAAGAGGCTCTTTTAATGAGTGTTGGAGATGAGTCTCCAACCTCCTGCTATTTTAAGCAACCTTTGTGTCGTTTGCCCCACGGTTGAGTTGTCCCCCCCCTCTCCATTTTACCGTCTCTCCTCTTGTCTTCCCCTGTCTCTCGCGCTCCTTACCTAGTTCAGCCATGGACACAGTTGGGGAGGTTTCTCCGTTGGTGAAGGAGCAGTAAGGGAAGAAGCCAGAGCCGGGGGCAAAGTCGCAGATGGGCTCCGGCTTGATGCCGTTGATGTCCAGGCCTGACTGATCAGGGGACGGCTGGATGTCCAGGTAGAAGCTGCTGACCGCAGAGTCTGGTTTACTGCCATCAGGGGTGTGACTGTCCATGTAGCCGCTGAGGTCGTCATGGAGCTCCGTGAGGCCATTGGCTGAGAGGCCGTAGCTAGGTGTGAGTGGCTCCGCCTCGCCAGGCTGTTGTTGGTGGTCACGCTGTTGCTGCTGCAGCCGGTGCTTCTGGACCTCAGCATACAGGCTGTCTCGCTGCTTCTTCGACATGCGGCCAAACTTCACCGCTGTGACAAGCAGGAGGAAATATGAGTGAGGATCCAGTGAAACATCACAGTTTGAACAGACGCTCCTGTATTTTAGGACTTAGTAAAGTAAAAGTTAAATAAACCACCAAAAATATTATTTATTCTTCAGAATGCAGTTAAAACCCTAGTTAATGAATCAATGACAAATCAAACAGTGTCCTTCCATGTTCCTAATTCAATAAGTGAACTTTGTAAATTGTGTTGCTGAGTCTGGAAAAACTTTCCGCTGTGTGAAAAAATCTCAACTGGTGAGGTTTTGTGTAACACTCGTGTCTGGAAAATGCCTTAAACTGTGGAGTTCCTCTGAGGACAAATCACATGATCTCACAGTGTCGGCTACATTCTTATTTTTTTCATCAGGAAATAAATCATGGAGTCCGAGACCAAATGACAACAGTGGAAAAGGAGGCACATTAAATCCATACTGGCTGTAATACACTCAGGTCATTTTCAATATGTGCGCTCCTCTGACAGTAACACACGGCTAATATTTAAGTGGTATGTTACTATTAGAACTACAGACATCTGCTATTAGCATCCTACTCCAATAGACTGCTGAACAGTACAGTATTTAAGAATGGTATAATGACTTATAAGATTACATTTAAGAGACAAAAGCAAGTCTTCATATTTCAGGGGTGATCAGTAACAACAGATGAAAACTAGCATTCAGAGAGTGCAGACCTCTGCCAAGGCCCAACAGTCCCTGCATTATATTCACAAATCACACATCTTTATTTGGGTCTAGACTTAAAACTTATAAATATCATGTCTGGTCACCCATCTCCTGTTTTAAGGTTTCTATACTAAACACTAGATCTTATAATGAGACACCTTGGCCAGAGTTGTAGGGGCCTGGTTATGTCAGCCATGTGTGTGTGTGTGTGTGTGTGTGTGTGTGTGTGTGTGTGTG